TTGCTCTTGCTGTTGATTTGACAAGTAGAAAGGAAGATGCATCTTGAAATTGCTCTTATAAGAAATTCCTGTTGTTCAACATATGTGGTGTTAATGAAGAAACTGTATGTGAAAGACTTTTAGCTGCTTTTAGCTTTCTGTTGTATTGTACAGTGTGAAAACACCAAGGTTTTAGGATGTTTTGTGAGATAAACAAAATAATAATAGTAATAATAATAATCAATATTTTATTTTATAGGTATGTGTGTCCTTTATAGGTGGAATATGTCATGGCAACAATAGTTAAAGACCAAAATCTAACACTAATCCTACCTAAAAAAAACTATAGTTGAAATGAATGATAACAATTCCCATTCATTTTACTGACTTTTCTGTAGAGAGACTACTGTTGGATTTAGTCCATGTTTTCTAGACTGACATATCTTATAATAGGGCACCATTAATGTGCCCCAGAAGTTGTTTATGTTTCAACTACAGAAACTGAAAATGTGGTTTGTGTTTCTGCCTTTCCATGTAGTGATTCTGTTAACTTGGAAAGCTGATTATAATAGATCATTCTAACTGTTCAACCATTTGAGAGGCATTCCTGTTAAATGTTCAATTTTATTTTTCTTTCTGCTTTCCATTTGCAACCAGGACAGAAACAATATGGTGAGTTTAAATCCTTATCCCTTTAGACTGTTGAATTATGCTCAGTGTGTAGTGGCTTAATCATCAGTATGATTAGATTAGAAATAGTGGTTGGCCATCTTTGGTTTGATGCTTAGTATCTCATTCTGCAAGGAATTAATACTCTCCATTTTCTGACTTAGGTCCAAAACATAACTGCAGAAATAATCCAGTTTGAGGCTGCTTTAACTGCCTTGGCTGAATGCGAGGGAATCCTGGGAGTTGTAGGGAATTATTGTTGTACTAGAGCTCTCTGTCAGAGAAGGCTAAATGTCTCCCAAAACTACACTTCCCAGAATTCCCTAGTATTGAGCCAGGGAAGTTAAAGCAGTCTCAAACTGGATTATTTCTGCAGTGTGTTTTGGAGCATAGTCTTTCCAGTCTTTTATGCATACCCACTCTTGATTAGCATATGTGATTATTTTGTACTTCGTAGCCTCAGATGTTACTGTAAAGATGCAGTTACATATGTTTATCTGTAACAGTATGATTGATCAACAGATTGGACTCACTGGTAGTGAAATGGCACCACTTCTAAGTAGAAGAGTCTTAGCCTGGATAAATTTTATTTGCTTAGCAGCTATAAAATTTATTCATGTTGATACTTGACCCATTATAATTTTACAATATACCTCCCCACACACTGCTTTCGTTGGGGGGAAGAATACATCTCAGTTCAGAGATGCTTATCTTTGAAAGAAGACTATATATACAAATTTGGGGGTTTGTTCTATCATTTTCACTTATTGTTAGCGTTGTTATTGTTGGCACTGTTTTATAATCATTAGTATAATTTCATTTCATAATGTGTTTATGGCACCGTTCTGAACTCTGACACTTTCTTTACAGAATATTAATCAAAAGCCAGTAATACTGAGGAAACGAAGACAAAGGATAAAAATACAAGCTAACTGGGATCTCTTCTATTACAGGTGAATATTTGGAGTGAAGTTTTTGTGGGACATTAAGCCATTTTAGTGATTAAAATTGTTAATTGGAACTGCCTATTTGTTAAAATTGATTTTACTACAACAGTATTTGAGTATATTTTAGTACAAAAGTGAATTTTTAGTAGTGAAGCCCTGAATAAAAAAATGCTTGTTATATCTTTTGTACAGATTTATGCAAGATCATGCTAGATCCAATCTCATTTGGAATTTCAAAACACGGGAAGAATTGAGAGATACCTTGGAGTCTGAAATGCGGGCATTTCAGATTGACAGAGAACTTGGCAGTGCTAATGTCATTTCTTGGAATCACCATGAATTTGAGGTTTGTCTTTATCCAATGTTTCTTGAACACAGAGTTCCACTCATTTTAAATATATGTTTATTAGCACCTGGATTCATATAAGGTTACTTACAGAGGCAAAACGTCTGTTTGAAATGGATTATGCAGTTATAGTTGTAGCTCAATGTCCTTTACCTGTGGGGGCATACACCAACCTGTCCACTTAGCAATGATATCAGAAACTTCTCTGGGAGGCCATTGGCATATGAGAGAATGAGTTGTGTTACTTTCCTTGCCTCAAACAGGCAAGACCACAAGTTGTTAAAAAAAAAGGAAAAGGTTTCTGTCTCCAGCTTCTCACCCAGTATTTTCCTTGTCTCACCCAGGAGAAAATCTGCTTCTGAGCTCCTGCTTCTCTTAAGTTACCTCCTTTTCTATACGTAACATTTTTTCAACCAAGTATCCTTTCTCATTCCACTTTTCACTTAAGTTTATTTCCCACTCAGTTATTCCCCAGAAAAAAAA